GCTACAGATATGGGCAGTGATGAAGATTTTGGCTTTGTAAAGCCCAAAACCTTATTTTTAACATCAAAATGAATATTATGTACAACCTGCAAAACGGATTGGAAATGTTGCCTATGGACTCTGTTAATTCTTTCCCTCCAAACATAGTAAACTATAGCATTCCAGGCCAGTTTAACAAGGATACAGTACAAGGATTTCCTCCTAATCCACTTCCCCATCCAGGCCAATTAACCTTGCCAAGAGCAGCATAAGGGAATTCCTGTCATAGCACAAATAACCTCCCATATTCGCTTGGTAAAGTGACACTGAAAAAACAGATGAGTACTTGTTTCCACTCCTTTTTTACAGAACAGGTCGTGTCATCAATACTAGGAGTCCATTTCTTCTTTGGCAGCATTTATTTGTCCAAAAATATTTATATGGTTTTCACAAGGATAAAGTTTATTGGTTCATAGGTTAATGGAAAAAAGAAAGAGAATCTTGATGGTTGGTTTTTTGATAACTCAAAACCACTCAACATTTATTCAAATCATTCTGCAGTTGTGAAGGTAAGGTGGACGTGGCTTTTGGTTGTTTGAAGTTCCAGTTTGCTCTTTCTGAAATGTGTGGGTCTGTATCCTCATGTGGCTGCCACCAAGAGCAGGGCATTGCTGGAGCAGCTCTTGGAAGAGTTAAACTAACTAATAGTTCTGAATCAAAGAGTTATCCAGTCTGGTATGCTGGAATGCTTTATGGTCTTACCTATGCTCTTTATTTCTCTCATGTGTTGCCTTTTTTTTTCGGTTTACCCCTCTTGGTATGTATTGGAATAGGCTATTTCTCATTCACTCTGGCACAATTCTTTCTATCACATTCATCTATTATCATAGAGATAGCAAAAGAGTTAACAGAGAGTTGTCATTCTTTGTCCACGGTTCTCTTTTGTTTTTTAGAACAGGAAATTTAGAGACATACATGAATTTGATTGTTTCCTCTTTTTGTCATGTCATGTGAGAAACTTATTTTTGACTTGAAGCCTATTCTGTGAACTTCTTTTTCTCACATTCTGCCTCTTTTTTTTTCTTTTTCTTTTTCCTTTTCTTTTTTTGGGTATTGTGGCAATCATTTGCAATCCACTGCAGCCTTTGCATTCGGGGGCATTTAAGTTGATAATCTTGCTGTTTTCTCCTTCTTTATTTCATCATTTGCTTCCTTAGATTATTTGGAATCTTATCATACACCGAGCTCCATATTTTTTATCTTCTTGCATTCTGTTTCCTTGATTCTTTACGTGGGTGGGTTGGGACATTTAATTCATGGATGAGCCAGACCACCATCAGGTTAGGTAAGGGAAATTGTTATAAAAGTTTGCATTTTGAGAGTTTTATGTTTAATTCTTGGGACTTTTTCATGCATTCCCCTGCTTCCTGTACCTGGTCAGTGAAGCACAACCTGCAATCTTTGACCCTTGCCTTTATCCAGTGGAATGATCTCAATTGAATAAGCTCGAATATCTTTCTCGAATCAACTAGTTTATCATGGAAAACCATCTCATTCCTGGCTAACCATAAGGACCACATTCCTGTTTCCCACACTGCTTTCCATCCGACTGCCACATTTTTATTGTTGAAGAAGCCAGACTGATGCACAGAGGCTGGCTTGCATGCATTTTTCAGGTAAAAGGCTTGTCACTCGCCCACCATGTCCAACACCTAGTCCCAACACCCAGTCCCAATACCATATGAAATTTTACACTGCAGAAACATGTGAATTTCATGTAAATCTTCTATTTCATTCCCACAAAATGCACACATAAGCACACTTGAATCATCCAAAATTCCACGCCTAAACAGATTTGATCTGGTTGGAACTTGTTGGGAATAGGCCCAACATTCAGCCTGGGCCGTGTATAGTAAGCCCAATCATTCGTACCTGGGCCCCAAAATGAAGATGCATCCATACAACAGTCCAGACACATCCATGTGGGTACTAATATGTGGACCAATCGGATGATTACATATATGGATTCATGTCAACACTAGAGGGTTATAAATATCTCCACCTACCTCCATTCAAGATATTAACTCCACTACACCTTCTCTTTGCAATTACTTTTGAGAATTTCTCTCTTTAAAATATTGAGTATTGCTGACTTGAGCGTCGAAGTGTTGTTTCCGAAGAAACATCATCGAGATTTTTAGGTGTTAAAGCAGCTGAAGATTTCTATAGTGTAGGTCCGTGCAACTGCCCAAACACAACTCTATCATGTATTGCCTCCCAATTGAATGCAACCAATGGGTTCCAAGTTAGGTTGAAGATGCTCCTTCCCCTACTCGCATGGCTTGATGTCAGTATTGCGTATGCTGACTTGACAGAATAAGAACCTTCACTTAAATGCTTCCATTTCCATGTGTCCACTTGTCCTTGCCTTAGCTGCACCTCATCCAGTAAACAATTTAACTCTTCCAAAGTTCCACTGGACTCTTTTCCCAGGTGAAAAGGGCTCAGAGATTCAATATTTAAGAAATGTTTCTTCTATCCATCTTCTTGCACCTTCTGGACAAGTTGCGCAGTCAGAGATTAAAAAATTTATGGGTTCTTCTATTCTAAATTTTAGTTTGAGCACCGGTTTCAAACTGTTTTGGGCTGGTCCTAATCTCATATGCCCCAAAAGGTGTGGACCTATATGGAAGTAGCAAAGGAGTCGGCACGATAGCGTTTTTCGAACTTTGACCTACTAACCCTTGTTGGATTGGTTTGAAAGGCTGTTTTTCTCCATATAAGTTTTGCCTAGAAAATTTGTTGAGAAAATTTTTTCAGGATTTTTTTTTTTTATTTTTTTATTCAGCGTGTTAGAAAGTATTATAACTCTTACAACAAAGTTTTTTTGAACGAAATATGATGGAAGTTTTACTTAAATTGTCAACTTCTTTTCGTATTTAATGAGAAGTAATTGTTAAAAGTTCCTTGAAAAATTCATTACGGTTGGGTCAAGTGATTAAAATTAAAAAATTATTTGAATTATGCTAAGAATATAAGTTTGAATCCCTTCAATATCATTTGGATGAATAATTTTAATGCTCCATGCTTCTTACATATCTTTTTAAAAGTAAAGCCTTAATTGCTTA